CCCTGTAGATTCTTCGTCCGAACTCGGATTTGAGTGATTCCGGGTGCGTTAGATGCTTGACGAAGAGTTCGATCCGCTATGGTGGTTGGATTATCTGTAGAGTGGTCTAGGCATGAAGGGCATTGTCCTTTTTGTGAACAGTGCCGGGTTCCCGATTGGTCCGGGTCTTCGTTGTTCCGAAATCCTATCAGCTCACGTAGCTCGTCGATTCACTTCAGTCGTTCGTCGACGTCAATTGGACTCCTGTGGCTTGGATAGTGATGTTCATCGTCGCGTGATTCCAAGTGCGTTGGATGCTTGACGAAGAGTTCGATCCGCTCTGGTGATTGGATTATCTGTAGAGTGGTCGAGGCACGAAGGGCGTTGTCCTTTTTGTGAACACTGCCGGGTTCCCGATTGGTCCGGGTCTTCGTTGTTCCGAAATCCTGTTAGCTCACGTAGCTCGTCGATTCACTTCAGTCGTTCGTCGACGTCAATTGGACTCCTGTGGCTCGGATAAATGACGTTCATCGTCGCTCTTTAACACTGAACCATCTGAAGAGCAGTGGGTTGTATGCGCCCATACGAGCTACTATGTACGGAATCCCAGTCAGCTGTCGCCATTTCTTGGCTTTGCTGGAGACCTACATGCCTGACAGCAACACCTTTCTGACCAGCGGTGGTGAGCTAGGGTTGGCCTTGCATGAGATGCATCATGTTTCGGGTCTTCCGATGGGGGATTGTCCGTATCAGGAGTACTTCCCCTCGAACCAGCAGCTGGAGTGTATGAAGAAAGATACTCCCGATATGTATGACACACTCTGGGATCTTACTTGCCACTATTATACTTCCTTGATCCAGACTTCTCCTCAAGCGAGAAGGAAGAGGCAGGTCAGCTTGAAGCAGTTTGCCAGCTACTTGTTCCAGAACTTGGAAGGTGATTCCAGTGCGCCCATTCATGAATTAGACGTGATGCCCCCTTCCGCCGTTAATGAGTTGTTGGAAAAGGCTGAGGTTCGTTCCTACACTATCGGCAGTGCTGAGGGGGCTTTTCCCGCGGGGACAAAGTTTCGCTCTTTTCTCCGCCGCGCACAGAGGTCTATAGGGTCCCGGGCGCTATTAGCAGGCTACCTTGCCCTTTGGTTGAAGAAGTGTGTCGTCCCGCACCAACCTTCTGACGCTCTACCCATCGAGGTGCTCTTCCCTGCAGTTCAGCTGGCTTATGGGAGAGAGCTTTCCCTGCTCCCAGCAATGGTTGCTAGCATCCATTGCGGGCTCAGGGGTCTGGTCAGCAGTTTCACACATATGGGCTCTGCACCATCAGCTGAGCTTGTTTGTCCGAAGGTTGAGCTCCCTTACGCATATTTGATGGCGTGGCTCGTTCTTCACCGTCCCGACTTGATGTCGGCGCCCAGCGTTGTTGACATCCCCGTCCCCTTCATGCAGCTGTTGGAGAAGAGCAGATGGCTCGGGAACAAGTTTAGTGATGTGCAGCAAGAGCTTCGAGTCCGCAAGAGTTGGGAATTCTTTAAGTGTTTCCCTCATTTTTCAGGTCGCTACGGCGATGTGCTGATTGATGAGGAGACACCTAGAAGTGATCGGACCGTTCTTGACGCTGGTTGCTTCCGGTGGTTAGTGAACATCCGTGTAGGCTATCTCGTCCTTCGGGTGAAGAACCAGTGCCACATAGAGCCTTATCTCCCTTGCCGCTTTGCTCGACAATTCGGCTATGACCAACTGTATGTCGGGAATCCGAGCCGCAGCCTGCGGGTTGAGGGAGGATTGATTGATGGCGTTCGAGCGTGGCTATGGACGATGGTGGGCTGTACTGGAGCCCGTTTTGCTCTTCCTTCGTACCGGCGTAAGCCATTGATCACTTTCCTCAGCTGCAAGTGGTTCCTTTCTGCATATGAGTCCATCAGCGTGAGGAGCCTCTCAGACTTACAGTCCGAGTACGCGGTCCGGGCTGCTATGATGGCTGGTCGCAGAGCTGAGCTTGCTCAGAAGCGGAGAAAAGGGCATGCCAAATCTCTTGTCTCAGACGAAGAAGAACTTCTCCCTACGGGTGACGATGACGAGACCTCCGAGGACGAGTATGCGGACGCAGATACCGGCAGAGGGGATCTCGATACTGGTTTGTCCCATCTCTTTTAATTTTCATTTTCCATAAATGACAGCTCTTTTTCATTGAAATGGCTATTGTCACTTTAGGTAGGGCAGCCAATGATCATGAGCCACCAGCTCCTACACACG